AATGTTTTTTTTTTTAAGCAATGAAAAATGACTGCTCCTTTAAAAAAGGCACTTTTTGAAAATGTTTTTTTCACTGATTCATGTTGCTCAGGGCAGAACCCCAGTCCCCATACCAATTTTATGGGCAATACTTTGCATATAGGCCTTCAAAATGGGCACTTTGAATTTGCAAGTTCGAGTCCCATAGACTTGCATTAGGTTCAATGTTCGTGGTGAACTTTTGGTCCATTCAAATGTTCTACCGCGAACAGGTAACTGGCTGGCAGAAGATGTAGAAAGCTGGCAGTGCTGGGAAGAGGGTAGCACACAGGGAGCCCAGGCATCAGGCAGAATCTGGACATAAGTGGATGAGTGTAGCAAGTGGGCAAAATTACTGCAACCAGTCTTTTGTGGCTCTCCCTGCAGCAGCTGAAAGCTGGCAGGAGGGAGGAGATGTTGGCTTTCAATTGCTAGGGTGAGAGCCATACAGAAGGTCAGTCCCAGTTATTACCCCCACTGGTGGCACCCCTCTCAATGCAGAACCCGAGGCACATGCCCCCCCCCCCCCCCAGTTTTGGCCCTATCCCTAATAATAATGATATTAACAGTTATAGTTACTAAAGAATAGCACAAAACACTGTAAACCAGTATAATCCTTTGTCCTCCATATACTGAAGGTCAGAAGACTATCAGATACCATTCCTAGTAGTCCTGCTATCCTAGGTTTTGGCCTCTGTCACCTGTTTCAAAGAAAAAAAACTACTTTTGTACTAGTTTTATTTATAAAAAGTAGGGAAAGGGAAACAAGACACAGAGACATATTTACTAAAACTGGTGAGTGTACAATCTGGTGCATTGAAACCAATCAGCTTTCAGGTTTTATTGCCAAAGCTTAATTGAACAAGCTGACATTAGAAGCTGATTGGCTACCATGAACAGCTGCACCAGATTCTCAGTGCAACAGTTTTACTACATCTCCCCCATAGCGTTGGCATTATAATCAGACTGATTGTTAATCGTCAGTGCTTAAACTGCACTTGAAAAATGACAGCTGAATTAAGATAAAGTGTTATGATAAAATAAGGCATTTTTCTTTCTTCTAGCTATGTACTTTTTTTATTTAACTCAGTAGGGAATGCCACATACTGCTACACTAACCCAAAGTTTCATGGGAAGCCCATGGATGATGTTGCATCCATTGTGGCTTTTGTTTCATGAAACGCCACAATATATTTTTTAGGGGAAAATATGAAGATATGGCTGCTTTGGGAATGAGATTTCAAAAATCTCTGTGGATCCTTCTCCCACTTGTCTTATTGTCTTTACAAGCTGCATGTCCTATCATCAAAGGAGAAGAGATCCCATGGTTCTCTTTCCACAATTCTACAGAGTCCTATGTAAATCCTATGTTCAAGTATAAATTGACACATGTTGTACTCATATAGGTCTTTTTAAGACCAGGGGCGGACTGACCATTTGGAAATTCGGGCACTGCCCGAGGGCCCGGGGTCAGTAGGGGGCCCCATGAGATGCCCCTGGTACCTTTTTCATAGGCTTTTTTGAGTTTGGGCAAGGACACAGGGGCCCCATGATCCCCTATTGCCCGGGGGCCCCATGAGTTGTCAGTCCGCCCCTGTTTAAGACCCATATGATGCTCAAGAAATAAAAACGAAAGATTGCTCATCATTTTTAAGGATTCCTGTTTGGACTATGGAGGGCTTTTCTCCTGTAAGTTAAAATTACATTTGCACTTTTGCATGTAATTGTTTTGCATAATGAACTAATAAAACATACATTTCTCCATGTACATATATTCTTACAAATTATAAAAGTGGACCCTTTTTTAGAACATTGACACTCATAGATATATTAAGCTGATCATAATTATGTATATGTACTGTATATGCAACAGATTCACTGTGCACCGAAGTTTCTTGACCATTGTAGAAATTTTCTTTAACAAATTAGAGATAACAGGTGCATGGAACCTCAGAAATACCATACAATTCATACAGGACATTCTTCCGACTGTTTATAAGTGCAGTGTGTTGCTCAGTGTAGGAATTTTCTTTAAAAAATTTAGAGAACAGGTGCATGGAACCTCAGCAATACCATAAAATATAAACAGTCAGAAGAATGTCCTGTATTAAAGTACAACAGTCCATCCATTTGGCCAGCTGTGTAGAGAGCAAAAGCTGGCTCCAGAATCATGTAAAAACAACAAAAGAGACACAGCACCTCTAAGTGTAGACTTTCAACTTGAATGTAAAAACAAGGGTAAAATACACTCACATTTCATAAGTGAGATACACGCTCAAAAGTAGAGAAGGGTGATGATCATCCGAACGTCCAGCCCGAACGCAAACCTGAAGGCGGCGTAGAACAGTGAGGCAACAGGAGTGCGCACATCTGATTGGGACTTCTCCCCTTCCCTTTGTTCACTTCATGACACCGTACGTCCTTGGAAGCCTGTGCTCCACTGTGAGGTCCATCTCGACTTCCTGGAGTGGATGTGCCCATCAGCCTCACTGTTCCCCTTTGCCTTCAGGTCTGCAGCACCGACATTCTGGCCAGACGTTCAGATTACCTTCACCTTTCTCTACTTTTCAGCCTTTATCTCACTTATGAAATGTGAGTGTATTTCACCCTTGTTTTCACCATTAAAGGTCACAAGTCATCAGGTATATGTGCCTATATGTGTCTATCAAATTATAACATGAAATTCTACTTTTAAACACTGCTTCATTTCTATACTACCTTTCTGTGCATGTTTCTTAATGAATATCTCTCTGAACCTCCAACATTACTAGTGCTACCCAAATATCATTGAAAGTGTATAATTTCAAAATATCTTTACAGAATAAATGATGAAACAATAAAGGTTTTCAGAACCTTGCCCTAAAATCTTTATACACATAAATATCCTCACAAGTGCTTCCAGTATAAGCTATTGAAAGTGCTGACATTCCTTTATAAATCATACCTAAAATCCCTACAATCATTCTGCCCTATGGTGTCAGTCATGTGACTACACTGCCTTGGCATTGAACATCCAGGTCATATCAGAATTCTAGGTTTAAGGCTAAAATTCTATAACACTTTGCTGTAGTTCTTCTGTATCTACAGTGCATTCAAAATATTTTTTTTTATCATTGGCTTTCATGTCCAGGCTACCCCATTAATATTCATTGTGTCTCTTCTTAAGTCCATGACATTATATATTAAAAGTCTTTTTTTAAAGAATCTAAACCCAATAACAAAAAAAAAAGTAATATGTTGCTGCTTACCAGTTCTAAGTTGTGGCGGCTGCATTATTTTTCATTTTCAGGCTTAGAACATTTTCAGCAAGAATAGGAAATACTTATAAAAGAATTGTAGCATCCTGTGAGCTGAAGTGATAACAAACAATGTTATCTTCTTTCTGTACACTTATTTATTTATTACAGGTACTTCTATAGCGCCGTCAATTTACACAGCACTTTACATATACATATATATATATTGTACATTCACATCAGTCCCTAATCCTCAGACGGCTTATAATCTAAAGTTCCTTAACTTTCATTCAAACATACACATACTAGGGACAATTTAGACAGGATCCAATTAACCTACCAGCATGTCTTTGGAGTGTGGGAGGAAACAGGAGTACCCGGAGGAAACCCACGCAGGCACAGGGGGAACATGCAAACTCCAGGCAGGTGGTGCCATGGTTGGGATTTGAACCAACGACTCTAGTACTGCCAGGCGTAAGTGATTTGAGAGGCTATAGAGCTACTCGATTACTTCAACAGGTGGTGGAAAAGGGTCCTCTTCCCACTGCCACCTTTATTGAGCTTTCCCATCCAATAGGGGAGCCTGGTAAGGATGCGACCAGCAGCTTCTGGGCACAGAGTAAGAGGAACTGATGCTGTTTCTCCCACTGAGTGATGTCAGAAACCAGGAGCGACAAGGATTTTGTCACTTCCAGTTTTGGTTGTAAGCAAAGGTTTGGAGGTCAGAGATTTCATAGACCCCAGAGCTCTCCATAAAGAGGATGTCATGGCCAATGTTATAACAAGGAATGTTGTTCATCCCTTGTGATAGCAATATAGTTGATGAAAAAAAAAAAAAAAATGTAAAGTCCCCCCCCATTTGTGTGCAAAGGAAAACACACACATCAGTCCCATATGCAGATAATGATCGCACCATACATGAAGTTATCACCATGCACATCTGAGTTAGAGCCATAATTCTGGCACCAGACCTGCTTTGTAACTCTAATCTGGTAGCCAGTAAAGGATTTTAAAGTGTCGCCTATGGATAATTTAATGTACCATAGTTTGTAACCATTCCATGGGCGTGCCCAATTGTTAATCCGAATAAATAGATACCAAATATGTCTCGCTTTACATCTTTTGTATTTTACCAAAAAATTGGGTATTATATTGTGTTTGTATATGTCATTATAGTGTATTTTTTTACAAAAAATGTGTGCTTGAAAAACTGCTGTACAAATACTGTGTGACATAAACACCATTTTACTCTCTAGAGCCTCTGATTAAAAATGTATGTTTAGGGGTCCTAAGTAATTTTCTAGCAAAAAATGCCATTTTTTTAAATGTGTGACAGAAAAGGCTGAGTGTCAAGAGGTAAACGTCAAGCCTAAGTGACAGCCATGGATCCCTCTTTAGGTACAGCCAGCCTAGGACAGTATATGTGTTAAAATAATGTGAAAAAAAATTACAAATATGGAAAACTCTTGATCTTTGGTAAACATTGACTAGCCAAAATGATGTTTCCTACTTCCTCAATGTTTGCAAAATATATTTTCTTTATACTATTAAACTACTGAATTGTGTTAAGGTTTAACAGGGGTTGATTTGTCTGAGAATTTAACATGGAGTATTCCTTCATTTCTCCTTTTCTTTCATTCAATTGTTTTTCTTCTGCAATAATTTTTTATTGGAAATTTTTTAATGACAACTTAATCATTTTCTGCTTTAGAGCTTAGTGTACTACAAAACAACACACATAGAACCATGGTGCAAGAGTTCATCCTAATAGCATTTTCAGAATTTCCACATTTACAGGTACTTCTTTCTGTCTTCATCATTTGTGTCATTGGAAATATTATCATCATTATCCTAATTAGAATTGATCCCTTGCTTCATACTCCAATGTACTTATTTATAAGTGCCTTTGCTGTCCTGGAAATTATTTTTGTAACAGTTACTCTACCTAAACTTCTTGACAACCTAATTTCTGGAAATAAGAGCATGTCTGTTCTTGGGTGTTTTACACAGATGTTTGTCTTCAGTGGATTGGGGATAACTGAATCCTACCTCCTGGTAGTAATGGCCTTTGATCGGAACTTAGCTATTAACAATCCCCTGCACTATTCATCTATTATGAAAAAGGAGCTTTGTTTTAAATTAGCTGTATTACCATGGATTGGTGGATTTACTATTTCAATTTTGACTACATTATTCACTGCTTGCCTGAAATTCTGTGGTCCAAATCAGATCAACCATTTTTTTTGTGATGTGGGCCAACTTCAAAACTTGGCTTGCTCGGATCTTTTTGTCAGCAAAGTAACTGTTTTTCTATCAGCTGTTTTTAGCATTGTCATTTCATTTATTATTATTATAGCTTTTTATGTTCGCATTATTAGCACAATCTCAAAAATTAAGAGTGCTGATTGAAAGAAAAAAGCATTCTCTACTTGCTCCTCCCATCTTACTGTAGCCAGTCTTTTCTTTGGAACAACCATTATTGTATATGCTACACCAATTGACACCCAATTTGACAAATTCCTAGCTCTTATATACACTGTCCTCACACCACTGTTAAATCCATTCATTTACACCTTAAGGAACAAGGATGTGAAGTAAGCAGTGAGAAGATCAAGAGTGTTAATTGCTAGAATCTTGACATAACTATAGTTATTAATTCCTGCTTAGACTATAGCAGATTGACAGCCGGGTGGTCCTTTTCTCCCTGTGACTGGGCGTCATGACATCCTGTGCATCGCAGCCGTTGCTGTCAGGTTGTGTCCCCCGGACACAGCGCTTCCCTGCTGAAGGTAAAGAGCCAATGAAATTGGCTTTTTATCACGTGATGGTCTGTGACCTGTCACAGCCAATCATAAATATAAACACCCAGTGGTCACTCACTGTTGCTATCTTCTAGGAGAAGAACCTAGGAACAGTGAGTTTTTAAAAACCCTTTCACTACTGTGCACCACACTGCCCCTAATAAAATGAGTCCCTGTCAGTGCCACCAGTGGATCTGTCAGTGGAGCCATTAGTGGACCCATCAGTGGATCTGTGAGTGCCGCCATCAGTGGATCTGTGAGTGCCGCCATCAGTGGATCTGTCAGTGCCGCCCATCAGTGGATCTGTCAGTGCCGCCCATCAGTGGATCTGTCAGTGCAGCCCATCAGTGGATCTGTCAGTGCAGCCCATCAGTGGATCTGTCAGTGCAGCCCATCAGTGGATCTGTCAGTGCAGCCCATCAGTGGATCTGTCAGTGCAGCCCATCAGTGGATCTGTCAGTGCAGCCCATCAGTGGATCTGTCAGTGCAGCCCATCAGTGGATCTGTCAGTGCAGCCCATCAGTGGATCTGTCAGTGCAGCCCATCAGTGGACCTGTCAGTGCAGCCCACCAGTGCAGCCATCAGTGTACCTGTCAGTGCATTCATCAGTGCAGCCCATCGGTGTTCCTGTCACCACAGCCATCAGTGCAGCCTAATCAATGTACTCATCACAGAGTCGACACAACTGCCGCCCATTAGAAGTGCACCCAGCCATCCATCAGCAGTTTATCCCTCATACAGCCACAATCACCATTGCTGTGTACTGCAATGTCCAAAAAATATTTTACTAGGAGGAGGAGGTGCTCATAATTTTCAGCATGTCAGATGAGAGCAGCGGCGAGCTCTCACCATCTGATTCCGATTTTTAATATGAGCAAATAGTGGGTCATTGACCGAATCAGAGGAGGAAGCAATCCCTCCTAAAAGGATATGGCGCTCTGAAGAGCAGGCAACCACAAGCAGCACCATACACCCCAATGGTCAATCAGCAGACACCAAGGATGAAAGGCTCAGTACCAGCACTGGAGCACCACCAGACCCCAAGAATTAGGGCCCAAACATATCTTCCTGATGCTCTGGCAAACCCTTTATGGTTGACTTCCAGCTCAGGATCAGCTTCAATCACCGTACAGCCAGGTATGCATACCAATACTGAACATTTTTCTGAAATTGATTTTTTTCGTTTTTCCCTGCCAATTTACTTCAATACATTGTGGACCAGATGAACCATTTTTCTCAGTAGTATATTGATAACAATCCCAGTACATCCTATGCCTGTCCTTTTTTTATGGAGACGTCTCACAGTGAAGGAGTTAATTGTTATAAAAAAAAAACCAACTCATTATGCCTCATAGAATATACGTTGGGGTGTTTGCTTTCCAAAATGGGGTTCTTTTGTGGGTCATGCCATTGTCCTGGTGCTCCAGAGCCTTCAAAAATGCAATAGGTAGTCAGGAAATTAAAAGTGTAATTTATGCTCCTAGAAGGCTTGATGGTGCTACTCGGATATTGGGCCCCTGTATGTGTCCAGGCTGTGGAAAAGTCTCAAATATGTGGTATCGCCATACTCAGAAGCAGCAGAATGTGTTTTGGATTGTAATTGCAAGTATGCATATGCCGTGTGTGAGAAATACATTGTTAATATGACAATTTTGTGTTAAAAAAAAAAAATCAATTCCTTCATTTTCCCAAGAGTTGATGGAAAAAAATGACAACTTAAAAGAATTCACCTTGCCTCTTACTAAATACAGTAGTTTGGACTGTCTACTTTCCAAAAAGGAGTCAGTTGGGGGGTATTTGTACTGTCCTGGCAGATAGACCGTCGGTTCAACAGGTGTGATCAATTTTTAATGATTGGTACCATAGTTTGTAGACTGTATAACTTTCACAGAGACTAAAAAATATACTCTGATTTTGGTTATTTTTACCAAAGAAATGTAGCAGTAAAAATGTTGGCCTAAAGTTATGAAGAAAATTTACTTATTTGCAAAAATTTTTAATAAAAACTAAAAAAAAAAAAAAAGGTTTTTTTTAAATTTTTTGCTCTTTATTTATACAGCTGTAGAGTGCAAAATCAGGCTCACTTCTGCATAGAAACCAGTCAGCTTCCAGGTTTTATTACCAAAGCTTAAATGAACAAGCTGAGGTTAGAAGCTGATTGGTTTCTTTGCAAATGTCATCCTGATTTTGCATTCTTCAGCTGTAGTAAATAAACCCCAGTGTTTTAAAAGTAAACCTGTTATTTAAAAAAAAAAAATGAACAAACACTGTTGCATGAGAGCAAGTGCCAGAAAAACACAAGCAGGTGCCTATAGTTGAAAGCCTCAACTAAAACGAATGGGACTTCTGGTTGATTCCAATAAAGATAAATTCCAGTAGATGGCTGGAGGACGATGGTTTTGGGCAAAGTGGAAATCTGAGTTTGAGCTGAACTTAAAGTGTTACTAAACCCACAACAGTAAAATCAGTCTGTATATGCAGTAAAGCATGCTTGTTATACTCACTGTGGAACCTAAGAGGTTAATCTTCTATATTGTGTAAAAAGGCCATTTGATCCTTTCTTCTTTGCTTTTCCTATAGTTCAAATGTCCACGGCTTATCTCCTGATAAGACAGACTGAACCCATAGCCATTCAGCACATGTTCAGTTTAGTGTGTATTGCTAAAGAGGTTTTTTTTTTTTTCTTGGGAGAGTGCTTGTGATCAGCACAGGGCCAATCAGCACTGTCCAGACAGAGGTCAGGGGTTCTGCATCCTCCTAGAGCAGAAAGAAAACTCCTCCTACAAGCTTTAACCTGTGCTCTGCTGGACACTGGTAGAAGTCACAAGACTGTTCTAACTGCTGATGAGAAAAGGTATTTAGCAGTTTATATTTTCTAAAATAATTGCACTTCCATGTTGTGTGTACTGTGGTAGACCAGATATAGTGAATACAGGGTCCTGGGGTTTAGTAATACTTTAAGGCTTATGCACCTTTGGTGACCTCTCTTTTGGAGTAGTGGTTTTTAATTTTATTTTTACCTGACAGATTTCATGATACTAGAATGATTTTGTTTCTGTATCTGTGTCAATCTCTGAAGAACTGGAGAGTGGAAAAAACAAAGAAGGCATGGAGAGAGATGAGAGAGTCCTATATAGTGTCATTTCTTAGGCTTCTTTCAAATGGGTCCGATCCATTTTTCAGGGGATTTGTCTGCTAATCCCCCTGTTAAGCGGAGCGGCCGAATGACAGGTTCGCGTCCCTTTCACTTAGAGCAGAGCAAGCTATGTCTGTGTCCATTCTGCTTAAGGGCAGTCAGATGTAAATAAACTGGCTGTCCATTTACAGCTGACTGCCCTCTGATCCAACCCGATGGAGGGGAACAGATCATCTTCTGTTTGGTTTTGGCAGATTGGATTGGATGTAGGTGGGTGTAAACAGACACAAGTCTGTTTACATCCTCCACTCAATAGAGGAGAATGGAGGGTCCTATTGGGTCCACCTGAAAGTCGGACTGCTCATGTGAACGGACCTTATCCACAAGAAAGGATAGAGGAATAATGTTACTTACATAAGGGTACGTTGCAGTAAACCATTGAAATTATATGCAACCTGTCATCAAGAATATGGAGAATATCCCTGTCCTCATGCAGATCTTTCTTTTGGTGGATGGTCACGCTCAATGCATATGGAGAACCAGACCTTAGTCTCTCAGGGTGGGCTATGTCAAGAGTAGTTGGTAGGATGCAATGTGCCAAAAGAAAGGGGTCCCTAAATGCCTAATTTGCAGAAGTTCCTGGCATTGGTGGATTTTTTGTATGGAGTAGACCATTAGGAAGCTCTTGTGTCCATGATAAAATCAATTGTTTGTTAAACTGAAATCCCATATAATGCATTTTGTGGCTCCCCGGCACTTCTGTGTGTTTTTAAGGAATTAATCAACCTAATTTTTAAAGAATGAATCTGAAAGTGCCTTCTTCTTTAGACTATTTGCTTTATTCCTAAAACAAAATAAAAGTATACTTTTAAAGGGCAATGATATATACCTCATAGAAGCAATATTTTTACTTATGCCCCCATTGTTTAAAACATTTTAGGAAACATTTCAAATGTTAAAATGCTATTTTTGTTGTCAATGTATTATTGTCTGTGAAGAACCTGTAATTAACATTCATAGCATTGGTCACAGAAGTCTTCCATTATGAAATATATTTTTATTATTATTACTATTATAATACAGGATTTATAGCGGCATCAGTTTGCACAACTATTTACAATATAAAGGGAGTCAATACAGCAACAATACAAATGAAAAAAAAAAAAAAGAGGGTTAGGAGGGCCCTGGTGGAACAATAAGAAATAATTGCAAGATATGAACTGATGGGAGAAATAAAAGATTTGGTTATTAACTGAAGGCAGGAAAGGTTTCCTGAAGAAATGAGTTTTCATGGATTGCCTAAAAGTGGACAGACTAGGAGATAGCCTGACATATTGGGGTAGGGAGTTCCAGAGGATGGGAGAGACCCTGTGGAAGTCCTGGAGATGAGCATGGAAGGAGGAGACAAGGGACCTAGGGAGCAGGAGGTTTTGGGAGGAGCGGAGAGGACATTTTGGGTGATATTTGGAGACAAGATTGGTGATGTACTGTAATTTTGGAAATGGCTTTGTATGTTATTGTTAATGTTTTAAATTCTATTCATTGGGCAATGGGAAGCCAGTGGAGGGATTTGGCAGAGAAGTTGAAATGGAGCATCAGAATGGGGAAGAAAGGGGATTTAAGTGACTTTGAATGTGGCAAGGTTGTTGATGCCAGACAGACTGGTCTGAGTATTTAAAAAAACTGCTGATCTACTGGGATTTTCATGCACAACCATCTCTAGGGTTTACAGAGAATAGTCCGAAAAAGTGAAAATATCCAGTGAGTGGCAGTTGTGTGGACAAAAATGCCTTGTTGATGTCAGAAGCTAGAGGAGAATGGGCAGACTGGTTACTGCACCATTCAGATGGTAGGGTCTGAATTTGGTGTAAACAAGATGAAAGCATGGATCCATCCTGCCTTGTATCAGTGGTTTAGGCTGGTGATGGTGTGGGGGATATTTTCTTGGCACTAGCAAAGTGTACCTAATAAAGTGGCTGGTGAGTGTATATGACAGTAATTTACTTGCCACAATAATTTAGGTCCAATTTAACAAGAATCTGGTCCTATTGAAAGTTAACTGAATCCTGCAACCAATCAATTGCTAGCAATATAAATTCTACTTGCAACATACATATGTATTGGCATGCAGTAATCAAGACAACATATTATGTGTCTGACAATGACTCTAAACAAAACATGTTTTCTCAACTATTCTCAACTCTAAAGGGAAATCAATCAATGTTGCTGCTTACTTGCTTGTGTTTCCTACAAATTGCAGGTTTTAGATTCATGTCTCAAGTGAAAACATAATTGGTCTTAGAGTGGTCCCTTGTGCAATAAGTCTTCAGGGCCCTTCTCAGTTTGTGTTCAAATATATGTATGTATTGTTATATAAACTGTATATATGCGTGCAAACATTAAATTCACATGTAACTTCCAAATACATTCTTCCTGATATTAAATTAATTGTCATTGTCATCATATGTTCTTTAATCACAATTCTGCTTTATACAGACTATGGGTGATACTGTTCCAGTAAGTATAACCTGCTTTACACACTTTACATTGACACACATTATATTAATACTAATAGTAACCTATGGTTTACTATAATAGTTCACATATTGGGTCCATCCATCTCCCACGCTTGATTTCCGTTGGTTTGTTTTCCTGGTCAGGGGATCCCTAAAGTAGGAGTGGATATCTGCATAAAGTGGGAGATTAGTTCCAAAACAGGTAAAGAACACTGTATTAGAAGGTTCTCCTGCGGCTGTTCAATTCTAGGGATAAAATGACAATGGAACTTATCCTATACTGGAAACTCTGGGTGTTGGTGAGTGAGGAGTTCTGCATATAGTAGTCCAGATGCTTGAAACTTTGACACATATATTGATTTATATTTATTTTTAAAATAGCAAACAAGTGTACAGCCTATGTGTTTGTATTTTTGGGGGTCACCTATTTTTCTTTAGGGCTTTAGAAAGATATTAGATTCAGACCAACTGGTGGTAAAAAGCACAGCTAAGGATGGAGCACTTACTATGCGGCAAGCTACTAATGATCCAAAGCAGAGATGATTCAGTAACTAGCTGGACCTAAACTAATATTTAGAGCACTGAAGAAAGGGAAGCCCAAAAAAAACCAAAACATGTTGGTTGTACTCTTGCTCATTTATTTTGAAAAAAAAAGCTAATAGATCCCTCACTGGTACAAGTATCTTGGCTACTTTTTGTGGTTCTCCTCAAAGATGGACATTCGAACAGTAGTACTGTTTGCAATGAAATCTAGAACTGTGAATGAACTGTGCTATGATTGTACTATATCATATCATAATGAGGATACTGATTAGATAGTGAGAACTTTTAATTGCCTTAGAGTTCACAATTAAGGGACATTGGGAAGTCCATGTTTTGGTCTAAAAAAAATATCACAATTTTGGATTTCTATCGAGTTTGCCGAGTCCCTTAAAAGGAAAAAATAGGTGGGTTTATTTTATAATTTGTATTTATTATAGTCAGGTACTGTATATATGAAATATTGCATTGTTACTGCCTGTTAAAAAAATATTTTTTTTATAGACAATAACTAACACACACACACACACACACACACACACACACACACACACACACACACACACACACACACACACTTTAAAGCAGTACACAAAAAATCCTTAGCCAGTTTCTGGAAATCACATTATTCATAAGTTTGGGTATGGTAACTGTTAAACATAATTTCAAGAACAGCAAATGTAGTTATAAAGTAATACATTGGTGTTTGAAGCAAGGGTTCGGTCCTAATTAAGATGATGATGATGATGATATTTCCTGTGTCTAGGAAGTCAACATTTATAATGTGTGCTATAGTGACAAGATGGTTGGCAACTTCTCTCACCAATTTACCATAAATGTGGGAGAAGATTGGAATTATCATAAACCAACAGTTGTCACAACAACATCAACAAAATTCAGGTGTGACATATACATATATTTTCTATAAATCTAATTCAATATATAGAAAAAACGCAAAGGCATAACATTTTTACTTTTAATAATAATGTTCTATATTTTTTTTCACAGGGATTTTGCTCTATGAAACAAGATTTCAATAAGACCATGGTGCAGGAATTTATTTTAATCGCATTCTCCAGCTTAAAGCAGCTACAGATATTACTGTTTCTCTTTGTTCTGGTGGCATACATCATCTGTGTTACAGGAAATATCATCATCATCGTCTTAATTAGGACTGAACCCTTGCTTCAAACACCAATGTATTATTTCATAACTACATTTGCTGTTCTTGAAATATGTTTGTAACAGTTACCATGCCTAAGCTTATGAATAATTTGATTTCCAGAAATAAGAGGATCTCTATCATTGAATGTTTCACACAGCTGTTTGTTTTCAATGGGTTGGGTATGACAGAATGCTATTTGTTATTAGTTATGGCCATTGATAGGGACTTGGCTATTAACAGTCCTTTACACTATTCTGCTATAATGAGGAAGGAACTTTATACTACGTTAGCCATGGCACCATGGGTTGGTGGTTTTGCGATTTCTTCCTTGACTACTGGTTATACCTCCCAGCTGAAATTCTGTGGGTCAAATCAGATTAATCATTTCATCTGTGATTTGGCTCCACTTCAGAACTTGTCTTGCTCTGATACTTCCATGAGCAAATTATCCACCGTACTGGCAGCTATTCTCACTGCAATTTTCCCAATCTTTATTATCATAGCTTTATATGCTCACATTATTAACACCATCTTAAAAATCAAAGGTGCTGAAGGCAAACAAAAAGCCTTCTCTACCTGTTCCTCTCACTTTACTGTGGCCAGTCTTTTCTATGGAGCTGGTCTTGTTGTGTACATTAGACCTACTGGAGGGGAAAACGACAAATTTCTTGCTCTTATATACACGGTTCTCACACCACTTCTAAACCCTTTCATATATACTTTGAGGAACAGTGATGTGAAGACAGCGGTAAACAATTTAATACTAAAAAAAATAAATGTATTCAAACACCCATAGGGCCTGTCCATTGTTTACAATAAAAAAGCAACCTCAGTTATATAGTATCAATTTAGAACTAACATTATCTAGAGATTGTATGTAGGTGTTATACTCCTATAATTGCATTTTACGCTCTCTAATTTATTTTGGTGATTAATCAGTTTTTGGTCGTGTTGAAAACATTTAGGTGATCTGCAGGATAAACACGTTTTTCTGCACCAATTACTAAGATACAATGGGCTGCAAACAAGAACATAGCTTTTAAAGATGTGGAACTCTCTTCCACAATCGGTGGTGTCAGCAGGACGCATAGATATTTTAAAAAAACCTCTTAGATGGGTATCTTAGTGAACATAATATACAGGGATGTGGGAAATGGTTTTGACATGAACATAAACACAACACAGGTTGAAGTGTATGGATTGGTGTCTTTATTCAACCTTACCAACTATGTAACCATGTAACACTTAAAGTTGCTAAACAACAAATGAGAGGGCACAGCGACCTAGTACATTACCATAACCCAATTTTATTAAACGTATATAACAAGTGTATACTCACAAACACATGTCATGTCCAAACATATCTATAAATACAGATGAGACCACCTCCAAAATCCCCTGTAATCAGTGAATGGTATGGGAAGACCGCATAGCATCCAAAAAAAGTGCCTATGTTTCTTGTCGGATACTTTTAATAAAATTGAGTTATGGCAATGCAGCAGGTCTGTGCGCCCTCTTCTTTGTTGTTTTGTAATTTGCCTAACAATACCCACAGTCCTGAGAAGGCAGCAAGACGGGTGTGCGATATACCAACAAGAATAGCCAAGATAGTCCATTGTATAATTAAGTACTACACCTAAGTGTAGAAGCTAAAGCTTTAGAAATAATTAAAGCTGATCTTCACCTTTTGATATGCTTTACATAGTTCGTTTGCACCAGCTTGGCACAAATAAACTGTCCCTCACTAACCTGTGAGTCTGCTGGATGTACACTTGGTATGCTGTATATAGCCGCAGTTACATACAACATACCACATTGTGTTCCAGGAGCGAGCTGAGACTTCCATTTTCATACCCGGAACACAGTAGAGTCTATCACAGTGGACCTCAGCCATTCAGAGTAAGCAATGTATTATATGAATGTATACAAAGCTTCCATTGATTGGTCAGAGAGGAGGGCTGATGATGTCACAATCTCTGACTTACTGCAGCTGCGAGTTTAATCACTGTACTGTGTTTGAAGTCTTCTGTAGATATCCACAGGTTTTACGCCTTAATTCATAAGAAACTCCCTCACCACCCACTGTTCCATGCATGCGCTAACACTTTTGTCTGCCATCTTGATTAATGGTCTCTGGACTGTCCTGCATCATATGTGCCAGCTATCAGTAATAGGACACTCTTGTCAATTACTACAGCGTTTAGTACTGCCATGCTAGCATCCCTTTTATCTGTAAAATTAAAATCCCTGTTTGACCGGAATGCCCCTAGTATTTCCATTGAGAGATTTGTATACATCTGGATCTCTGAAAATCAAACTAGATCAACTTCTGTACAACCAGCATGCCCATACATTGATGGAAATTCAGGCAGTGCATGCTGAACAAGCCAAATGGTGATCTATCTATGGCCAGCTTAAAGTGGAGTTCTATCCAAAAGTGGAAGCTCCACTTTTCTGCCTATGGATCCCTATGAGTAAGTCGGATATGACGAAACGAGTCAGGACGTGGCTGTGCGGCGTTCGGAAGTGACATGCCCGGAACCGGAAGTGACACAGGAGCATCAGTGATCGAGTATCTGGCGGTGGAGAGAGCACTGGCTCAGTTTTTACTTATGCACATACCTAGTGCAACATATTTGGGCTTTTTATCTTTATTTATCTTTTAAGTGGTGGTCTATTTTTGGCAATAAAGAAGCTGCGTTTTGTACTGTACCATTGGGGCTTTTTCTTGTTTTCTTTTAAGTGACCATTTATCTGAGTATGGAGTATTTAAGAGGAGGGAGGGACTCTTCTGTGCTACCCTAAGTACCCCCATATTGGATAACCATTATCACTTGAAAGGATTTCCTGCCTTTTTGGGGATAAGCGATTATGGAGAGTGGAGGAGAGGAAGCATATCGGCACTGATTGACCCTCCATCCCACCAAGAGATATTTATTGAGCTCTATTTTTGCCAACCATGAGAGTGGGTGAGTGTAGAGCTGGTGAGTGTATACCTAATAGTGGGAACACAATTTTCTTCTCACGTGGTGGTTACTGAGTTTAAAGAATCATTTGGTGGAGGATTGTTATTTGGACTTTACTTGGGACTTTACACCTATTTTTATTTATTTTTTATATTTAATTTTTTTCACATATTCTTTCACTTACTGTATATATTACTGGATCACTTTTGAGTGTTTTATGTGTTATATTTGATATTTTTTGAAGTAGCAGCATTTTGTATTTATTTGTCAATTTGTGGTTTATATTCATTACCCATGTAGCGCAATTTTTATTACTTTTACATATTACTATTATTCACTTAAATAAAATTACCAGTTGAAAAGTATGCACACCCTTAGTTCTTAATACTGTGTATTGCCTGTTTTAGCATCAAGGACAGCATGCAGTCTTTTATAATAGTTGTCTATGAGGCCCCGAATTCTTGCAGGCGGTATAGCAAACTCTTTGGTCATCTTGCACAAACAGCATGTTTGAGATTTCCCCAGAGTAGCTTGGTGATATCAAGCTCAGGAGACTTTGATGGCCACTTCAGAACCTTTACAGTTTTCTGCTGTAACCACTGGATGGTCAACTTGGTCTTGAGCTTAGGGTCATTGGCATGCTGGAAAGTCCAATAGCATCCCATGCACATATTTCGGGCAGAAGAAAGCAAATTGTCTATGATTTCTGCAAGGGTGTGCAAACTTTTGAGCACAACTGTATGGCACAGGGGCGGACTGACCATTTGGACAGAGGGCCCGGGGTCAGTAGGGGGCCCCATGAGATGCCCCATGTGGCTTTTTTGAGTTTGGGCAAGGACACAGAGGCCCCATGAACCCCAATTGCCCGGGGGCCCCATGAGTTGTCAGTCCGCCCCTGGTATGGCATGTAAATATCCTTACCAGTGTAGGTCACCATAGCCTTGTGTCTACTGAGCTATTCTTTTTTTGGATGGGAGGTCAGGGTTTATCCCATAGAAAGGACAGCACTGACACTCCCGATAGGCAATGTCCACATGTAGGTTGGGTCTCCTGCAGGGGAAGCAAGTACTTCACCAAGAAAAATAAACTACCAACCTCCCAGAAAGACAACATTACGAACCAGAGGCAGTTGCTTTTATGACAAGTGCAGGGTTAGAAATTAGTAGGATTCTATTAGTGACACTGCTGTGAATAATCACCTGCATCATGGGGCATACTTGTCTGAAAATTAGTATGTTTTTTTCAGAATTCTAGATATACAGTAACTTAACAAGAAACCTATTTTGAAAAACAGGAAGGACTTTAACGTGCCAAGAAAGAGACATCAACTTTACAATAAAATTGCACACTTTATTATACAATGAGAAAAATAAAAATGGTGAAGAATAGAAATTAGTAGGAACATTCCCCTTAAAGTGGAACTTTACCCATAACAACTTAAAATAATGTGCCTTAGCATGAAGCATACATTACACATTAATAATTTGCAGCACACACTAATTCTAGTAGCATAATTGCCTCCAGCATTCTTCCTGTTTCTTCTTGCTGGAGGCTGCCATTTTGCTGAATCCCAGAGCCCTGAGCAGAAGTATATTTTTAGGCAGATCGGCCTCTACAAACTCATCACAGTGTCAAAAAATAGAGATCAATGGAGCATGTGCAGAGCAGGGTGAGAAAGCGTATTACTGGATTTTAAATGGTAGAGGCACTTATTTTTAAAGTTTTACATAGCTATACCTGCAAAATGGGCCAGCCCAAAGTGATCTAGCAAGACTTAATTTTCTGACTAAAGTTCCACTTTAAATCAATTCAAGGCATCTTTGCATTTTTAACCAGATGTTGTTATAAGTAGTGGTTTCAACATGTTTCACCAATTGCTTCTTCAGGAAACACAATATTAAGCGGCAGTGCATAGAAAGAGATATCTGTACAATAGCATATGCAGATAAATCTTTCTATTTCTAATTTTGCATATGCCTAATCTATCATTATCTGTTTGCCTGCAGATTAACAGTTAAAATACATATATACAAGCTGTCTTACTTGGCAAAAGATTTGACATTCTGTTCAGCCATTTTTGGGACTTGAGAGAGTGCCAGACAAAGCTATTCGTAGACTTCTAGTGCAGCTAAGCAGGACAGATTGGGCTGGGAATGCAACTGGAATTAATTTTGATTTAGGTTGGATGAAAGTTCTTATTTCCCTTTACCATAAAAGGAGACCAATAAAAACAGTTAAAATCTGCTCTTCTTTCTATTATTTAATACCCTATGCCATATCTACAGTATGCATGTAAAGATGTCTCTGTAGTTATTTGTACTATAAGCATTTTTTGTAGGTATCAATAAAATTACTGCACACCAGCGACAGCAAAAAATATAAACCTTGATAACTGCAAAACAAGAATAAAATAATCTGTAGACTTGTAAACAGGTTAGAATTTGCTAGTTAGGTGCTGTCCCAGAAGGGAAGACTACGGTTAGCTTGGTTCCCGTCTTGTTGGTTTTGGTGGGATCTTTGGGTCTGACCCAAGACCCTAAGGGTCTTAGCTCCGACTTCCTGTCCTTGGTCCTGCTGCTGGTCCAGCAGCCAACTAACCACCAAGGAAGCCTAAAGATGTGGGAGCCACTTTGCCCCAAAGATTCCAACCACTGGAGCCTGTCATTCATGGACCTCGCCTCTGTAGGTATGCTGGGACAGCACATAGCCTGGTTAGGTTTAGGGATTAGGGACTTAGGAAAAATGGCTGTTATCTGGAATCACTGGAACTGTGATGTCTGTTGTGTTGGACTTTGTACCATTTGCACTTTATTTAGTAAAGTGTTGAAAC